GACGCTCTCGCCAAGGCCGCGCGTCAGCTGGCCGTGCTGGAACTACCGCTCGACACGCGGACCTCTGTCATGCGTGGCGAAGAGAGCAACTTCGGTAACTTGGTCGCTGATGCAATCCGATCAGAGCTCGGCGCGCAATTTGGCCTTGTGAATGGCGGCTTTGTTCGTGGCGACAATGGTACGATTGTTCTTGTTCTCGAGGGTCTCAGTGCTTCTCTAGTGCACCCGGCGAAGACGACGGTGACGGTGGGGCTGCTGGAGAAGGAGATGCCGTTCCCGCGCCCCGCGGTGCTCATCAAAATCAAGGCGGCCGACTTGAAGGAGGCAATTGAGCAGCACTTGCGAGTGTACCCGGCGCTCTCGGGCTCGTTCCCGCACGTTTCGGGCCTGCGCATCATCTACGACCGGTCGCGCCCCGAGATGCCTGCGGTACCGCCGTCACCCTTCGTAGCTTATCTCATGGGCTGCGTAGATTACGTCGTTCAAGGACGAGTTTGACAACAACATCGACTTGAACGCCGTTGTACTCGTCGCGACGACCAAGTTTGTCGCGGGTGGCGGTGACGGCTGCGTCGCGTGGCAAAAGGGCAAGCTTGTCTCGACACACGATCAGATCGCCGAGGAGGTCGTGCGCTTCATCGAGAAGAAGCGGCTGCTGGCGTACCCTGCGAAGGAAGGCCGACTCATCATCGTCGACTAGACTACCGTAGAAGACGCTCAGGGACGCGATATCATAGAACCCTTGTGGCCCGTCGAGTCGCCATCGACGTTAAAGCACGGTGTGCTACGCAAGCAATCTCTTACGCCGTTTCTCCTTGTAACCGCGCGAGCTGCGAGAGAAAGTCAAGCGTCTCGTGAAGTTTGTACTTGAGCTCCAGCGACGCAATGAGCTTGTCGTGGACGCGCACCTGTGGAGATGCTGGGACGATATATGAGAACCTATCGCAAGTGCAAGCAGCGAACCTTCTGCCGACAGCTGCGTTTCCCATGACTGCAGCAAATGGTCGTTGAATGCAAGCATGCTAGCGACCGAGGTTCCTGCCTTGGTTCGTCGGCGAAGTCGCTTGGGCGTCGGCGTGGCCATGACATTCTCCATCTCGGTAGCCTTGCGCTTGGATTGCATCTTGAGTTGCGCCTTGCGCTTGATGCGCGCGCCGAGGTTTTGCATCGGGACGATCGGTTCTTTCTCAACGCGAGGCGACGTCGGCTAGTACCGATGAGCGGCGAGGCAAGCAAACTAGCGCGGATCAAAAGACTCGTACCGGTGTCTCGTCGACAGCCCGCAACTTGACGTAGCGCGCCTTGAGGTCCTGCACCACCTTTGCATGGTAGAAGGCGCGGACTTTGGTGACGTGGTGCGGCGTCCGTGTCGTCGGCCGGCGCAAGCGAGCTGGTGACGTCTTCAACGTCGGTACGTGCCGAGATGGAGCCACCTATAGACCCTCGCATTAGCCCAGTACGTGGATTAGGAAAAGGCTGACCGTGACTTTTGGCACGGCCGTGCCAAACGGATTGGTTATGCAGCCAAGTCGAGGGGCGGTCCACGGTTTGCCACCAATTAAGGTTGGGTTGACGCGCGTCTGAAGGCCCGGCAACGTGATTCGCTCGAGCGCGGGGCGTGGACAAAGCATGGGCGGTACCGAGGACGCCTGTCGTCGAAGAAGGCAAAGAAGTATGAAGACGCGTGCACGAAGACGACGAAAGTCAGAAAGACGACACCTTCGCATGGGGCGCCCACGAACGGAGCGATGGCAGCGTCACGGTAGTACCAGCAAGGGGCCGCGAGGTGTTTTCGTATTCCAGCTGTCGGCCTCGCTTCTTCTCGAGCGCTTGCTTGGGGAGCATGGACGTTGGCTTCACATTGCGCTGGGACCAAATCGAAAAATGAGATATCCCGTCCTGAGTCCGCGGTATCGTACGCGTCCGAGTGGGATGAACTCGATGGGCTCATGGCGCGAGGCAAGCGATCGGTCGGTGCGAAGCTGGTTGACGTCATTGGCACTACTTCGGTTCTCCTTGTCGTCAGCGCTGCCGCCCATGCTCTTGTAGCGCATGGTCTTAGCCTTGGTTGCGATGGACATGGTCCCGAGCGCGGGTCGGGCGTCCGTCGCGCGATGGCCGGCGTCCTGGGTCGGCGGCGGCGGGGTCGCCATGCCCGAGGTCCGCGGAGCGTCCATGACCGCGAGGGTTCGGTCCATCGTCCACGGAAGGCGCCGGCCGCTGGGCAACAAGCAGTAGTCGGCGCTTCGTGGGCACAGGCGCATGCTCGTCTTCTCTCTTCTGCGGCCAAACCAAAACTGGCGCGCAACCGGGTGCAGAGAAAAAGCTCTGAAACCGTTTTCTAGGATTCGGCATATAGGTGACTCGTTGCGGCATGTGCCAAAGATACCACCAAAATGCCATCTCCAGTCGAAACATTAGTCGATACAAGCAACTAAACGCATGCTATGGCAGCGCTGACCATCTTGACGGTGAACGACGTGTACGACGTCGCACCTGACGCGCATGGCATGGGCGGTACGTCCACGAGGATGACATAGATGATGCTCATCGGGCAGCGCAGGAATGGCCGAACTCGCGACCTTGCTGCAGCGTGAGCGAGCGGCGACGCCAGCGACCTCGACGCTGCTGACGACGATCAACGGCGACTTTCTCTCCGCGTCTCGAACCGGAGCCTATTACAAAGGGTACTGCACTCCTACGCATGAACGGCCTTCGTTACGACGTACTATGACGAACTAGCGCGCACATGATCGACCTTCTCAACCACATGGACGTCGACTTTGCCGTCTTTGGTACGCTTGATGTCCTTGACGTTGTTTGAGTATGGCGTA